TGAGAGCCACGGTATTAATTAACATTCCTTCTTAAAATCCAAGTGCCCTACTTTTTAGGAATTATTTTAAAACATCCAGATTTCTTGCTGGTAACAGAAAGATAACTTAAATAATGAGCTTTTCCCCTTCTCTAGGAGGCTAAGAGGAGCTCTGGAAGCATAGTGCCTAAGGCATTTGACCGCTAACCAGAAAACTGGGGGTTCAAACCCACCAGCCACTCATCAGAAGAAAGGTTGACCAATCTACTTCCATAGTGATACCGCCTTGGAAACCCAAGGAGGAGTAGCTTTGATTCGGGTACCACTCCACGGCAGTACGTTTCATTTCTTTCGTTTTTCGTTTTAGAAGGCTAAGTATTCCAAAAGATCAAAATATGGTAGTTTTTCCTCCACCTTTGTTTTTAGGAGTAACAGTGCTCTAAAGCCTTAAGTAAAGTCCTTGGCTTAGTGCTTAGGAACTCAGGCCTATGGGCAACCAGGCCTATGCACAACCAGGCCTACAGGCAACTCTTACTTGCCCTTTGTTTTGTCAATCTGCCTTCACTTTGAAACCACTGACCCAACCCCTACTTACAACAAATTCATCAGCTTAATCACCTTCACTTGCTGTATGTGTAGCTTTTAAATCATTGAAAAGTCTTCCAGCCTTTTCTTGCACTAAAGCTAAATAAGAACTGTATGTACCTGTTCTGACTTGCAAACTAATTCAACTGAAAAATTTCACTCAGGAAGGGATCTTATTCATATCCTGGAGACTACCTGTACTCAGAATTAGTAAGCTCTTTTCTAAGGTTTAAAGAGCTCTGGTGGTACATTGTCTAAGGCATTTGGCTACTAAACAGAAAGTCAGCAGTTCAAACCCATCAGCTACTCCACAGTAGGAACATGGGGCAATCTACTTCAGTAAAGATTTACAGCCTTGGCAACCCAATGGGCCTCGCTATGAGTCAGAATCAACCCAATGGCAGTAAGTTTGGTTTTGGGTTTTTTCTAAGCTTAAGGAGCTCTGGTGATATAATTAAGGCATCTGGCTGCTAACCAAAAGTTCGGTGGGTCAAACCCACCAGCTGCTCCATGAAAGCGGAGGCAGTCTGCTTCTGCAAAGATTTACGACCTTGGAAATCCAATGGGGCTCGCTACGAGTCATAATCAAGTCAATGGCAATAACCATCTCAGAAATCCAAGGGGGGTCACTGTGAGTCAGGGTCGACTCAACGGCACATAACAACAAGAAGCTTGGTAAAATCTAGAAGTCAAAAAAGAACTGAGTGATATGTAGCCATTTAATTTAAAATCACTGAGTTGTAAAGACAACAATAAACAGACAACAGATACCAAAAAAACTTGTCTGTAGCTAAACAAGGCTACCGTATCTTTACAGGTATGTGAGCATTATACCTTTTTTTGCAAACCACGTAGCCCCCTTGAGTGTTTGTTTCCTATGCACAGTGAGCACCTTATATGCCTGTGCACATTATTTGTGAAATACAGGTAATTCCTTTATCCACATAAGGAGCTCTGGTGGCGTAGTGCCTAAGGCATTTGAATGTGAACCAGAAGGTTGGTGGTTCAAACCCACCAGCCACTCTGCCAAAGGAAGACTGGGCATTCTACTTCTATAAAGATTTACTGCACTGGAACCTAAAGGGGGTCGCTATGAGTCAGAATCAACTTGATGGCAATGAGTTTGGTTTTTTTGGTCTTATCCACAAACTCACTACCATCAAGTCAATTCCAACTCACAGTGACCTCCTTGTAAAGAGCACTTTAAAAAAAAAAAAAAATCAGTAAGGAAGTCATATAATCAAGGGAAGACAAAAGACACAAACATGAAGTTCTAAAGTACAAAGCCAATAATCAAATATGCTATGTGAACACAGACACTCAAAAACAAATTTAAAACAAGGAGATATCACTGATCTCCTGATAATGATTAGTTTTAAGACATTTGCAGTTAGAAATCAACGGTGAAACAAGCATTCTCATCCACTATGAGTAGTTTCAATAATTTACATTATTTTGCAGTGTAACCTGGCAATCTCTCTTTCCTTAAACACAGCATATTGTAGTCTTCCTTTCTGGTCAATACACTTATATCTACCTCATTTTCCTTAACGACTGAATGGAAATCACTAGCATGGATACATTGCATTTTATTAAAATATTTTATCATACACCTTCTGACTCAGTAATCCTTCCTAAGGTTTACCCTACACTCACAAACTCATTTCAATAACCAATACATTTCAAGAATACTATTATAGAAATTATAGAATTTCTTGTAATATATGGGAGCTCTAGTAGCGTAGTGCCTAAGGCACATGACTGCTAACCAGAAGGCTGGCAGTTCAAACCCACCAGCCACTCCTCGGAAGGAAGGTTGGGCAATCTACTTCCGTAGTGATACTGCCACGGAAACCCAAGGAGGGGTCGCTATGAGTCAGGTCCAACTCGACGGCACATAACAACAACAAAGTACCCTCTTACTGCCTTCAAGTTGGATCCAACTCACAGCGACCTCTCCTTGGGTCTCCAAGGCAGTATCACTACGGAAGTAGATTGCCCAACCTTCCTTCCAAGGAGTAGCTGGTGGGTTTGAACCGCCAGCCTTCTGGTTAGCAGTCAAATGCCTTAGGCACTATGCCACCAGAGCTCCCATCTAAAGTACTCGCAGGCATTGTTCAATTTGACATAAAGCCCACTTTCTAAATGGCTTGTAAGAAAAACTAAACATTTATACCTGATCAGTGTTAATGAACATATCTTCCTCAGCTGATAAACTTTTCAGGACAGGAATAAGATTCTCCACCTTTTTCCTATTCCCCTTTTAATGCTTAAGATGATTCCTTGCAAATAAATCCATTAACAAATACATTTATTTAAAGCAAACCAGATTCAGAAAGTCACATGCCATATCCATATCAAATTATAGCTGAATTGAATTTTAAGAGAAACTGACAGCCAAATCATTTTTATAATACCAAAAGATACTACCTAGTGGATTGAAGGGAAAAAATTTTTCTATTTCTGGATAGGTGTCATCCAAGGCAGGAACAGAACTTTTTGCTTTAGCAGTCTTCTCAGTCATCTAAAACAACCCAAGAAAATATGGATTAATGAGAATGGAAGCCTTGTCAACTGATGAATACAATAAACTGTAGGCCTTTTCAAAGCATGTGATTACTCCACCACCATTTAAAATTTGTCAATTTCATACTGGTTTCTAAGAAACCATAATCCTTGGTTCTCAAGGAACTTAATTCTGAAACTTAAGTATTAGCACCTGTCAGTGTAACTTATCAAGAATGCAGAGTTAATTCTGAGCTAATCAACTCAATTATTCGACCTAACAGAGGAGAAAATGGGCATGAGTCACCAGAATAGTAGTTAATCCTAGAAGCCATTTAGATTTTGGAAGTGTGATTTTCTATCAGTGTTATCTTAATTATTTCTTCGGGTTAATATTAAAAACAAACTTGTGTTCCTCAAATATATGCATCGAGTAAGAGTCAGGAAAATTAAGACAATCAAAGACTTTAGGAGTCCATCACAGATAATCCCCTCATCTGCAACTAGCAAGCAGACAGCCTACTGTAATAGTAGGCCAAAATAAAGCCTAGGTATCCTTGGTTTACTTTAGCTCATCTGTGCATACCCAGAGGAAATCCCTAGGGCAGGTTTTCTCCCTATCAGCCCTCTATATAACATTCTCATTTTTTGCCATACCATTATGATAACTATGTTTAATATTATTTAAGTCAATTCATTTTTTTAAAAAGAAATCCTTGTCCTAAACCATATTATATGTCAGGCACAGGTTTGATATAAAGTAACAGTTGTTTTTTAACACATTAAAAAATTATTAAAATAAAGTATTAATCCACAGGTCAGCTAAAATTATCTTTCACAGTAAAGTACTCTCACTGGCACGTACCTCATGTGTGCACATACACGCACGCATGCACACACAAAAGTCAGCACACTAACAGGTTGGCACGTAACAAGCTGGTGATTGCTATGCAGGGAGAGGGAGATGGCAACACCTGGCCAATATCAGTTACTAATATCATTTCTTAGCAACACAACCTATTACAAGCTGCACTCACTCTTAGTATTTCACTCATCCGTAGGTAGATGCTACCAACCAATCTGTTTCAAAATACTACTTAATGGCATGTGTAGCAAAAATATTCACTAGATGCTTCTGAGCTTTCCAATCTCAAGATCCACAAGGACCATATGATTCTCCTCTGCTTTCTATGTTTGCTAGCCTATATTTTCTTCTATTTAACAGGGTGGAAAGTCAGATAGCATGCCAACAGTTATTTTTCCAAAAAGTCTAAAGTGCTAAAGTGTTTAAACAGTGTCTTTAGAGTAGTCAACACTTACCTTCTTGGCGGTGAAGTTTGGCTGCTTTTGTTGGAGGGGTCCATTAGTCTTTACTGACTTTTCTGTAGCTCTGTTGACAGTTCCCAAAGCCTTTCTGGCAGCTTTCGGTAGGGCAGATGGAGCGTCAAATATTTTACCAACATGTGGTGTTGAAACCTGACATCTCCCATCTAAGGCTTTGACTGTTGAAGCAAAATAATAACATTATTTAAGTGGTAAACGACTGTGTAACTTTGAAGGCTGTGTGATATATAAACTTGTCCTAATTCTCACCCCCAAACTTCCACACCCATTTTTGACAATGGCATGGCTATGATATGCCCAATAGCACTTCAGTACTCTCTATAAATAATCCCATTAAGAACTAAACAAGGAAAAGAAACCCACAAGTTGTTTGCAATAAGAGGAAATAACAGTGATGATTCCAATTACCGACAGAGTACACTAAATGCCTGACCTAGATCTGGACACATCCACAATTAATTCACAACAGTCGTATTTTCAGTTGCAGCCTGTATACTTACAAGACCCAGATCCCACCTTCAGCCCATCCTTAGGACCCACACGGTTGATTGGTTCTCCATTTTCCTTATCAACAAAGATCAGAGTAGCCATTCTGGATTACTCTAGGGGTGAGAAATACTTATTAGACTCTGGAAGTTATGGAAGGCAATAAAAGGCTGAGGTGTAACAGAGACCAAAACTTGCCCACTCAAGAACTATACAGACAGAAGCCCGTGCTTGAGCCAATAAGCACTTAATATTCCTCTTAACTACTGAAGCCCGAGTCAGAGCGTCTAAATTTCTGAGCAGCGCTCGGTTTGGCTCCTGCACAAGCCCTGGCACATATCAGAAGAGAGATGCCGTGGAGTCCCAGACACCGTCCGAAGCCAAGGCTAAACAAGGCTCGACAAATACACGTCTCGCCGAAGACCAGTCCCAGGCCTCCTCCTTACCCGCAGGACTCAGTTTCCCCAACCTCAACAAGTACCTTCCGAGACCCACCTCGACCTCAACAGGCAAATTCACCCAAGACTCAGCCAGCCGCGCGGTCGCGCCAGGCTAGGCGTTTAAAACATAATTCGGGGCCCCCATTGGCTCGTTAGCACAGCAGGGCGGGGTGGGGCCGGACGCCCAGGAAGAACCAATGGGACGCGCCTAAACTCCCTGGGCTTTGCCCTGAAAGCTCTTTCCGGAAGTTTGCCATTAGTGTCCGAACAGGGGCGGGGAAAGGGGAATGCGTGGGTAGTGTGATACTGAAAGCACCGAGGGTTTTTTGATGTTTGTAACGTTGAGCTGGATGGATTGGGGCCCTTAATCCAGTAAGGCGGTGTTCTTGTGTTAGCGTCATTTTAGTTAAATAACATTGCAAAATTCATTGACTATAAGTTGCAGTAATGAATATATTAAAAATTGTAGGAAATTTGTTTTTGTTATGTGTCGTGGAGTTCACCCCGACTCATAGTGACCCCTCCTTGGGTTTCCGAGGCCGTAGATTGCCCAACCTTCCCTCTGAGGAGTGGCTGGTGGGTTTGAACTGGTTACCTTCTGGTTAGCAGTCAAATGCCTTAAGCACTACGCTAGGAGAGCGCATTGTAGGAAATTGGCAGGTTTGAAGAAAAGCATGAAGATCATCAGAAAGCTCAACTTCTCACAAGGAAATAACCACTGTTAATATAGTTATTAGTGTGTTCCGTCTAGTTTTTCATTTAGAGAGAGAGAGAGCGCGCGAGCGCTCTGGTAGCTTAGTGCCTAAGGCGGTTGGAATCGACTCCTGGCAAGGAAGATGGGGCAATCTACTTCCGTAGTGATACTGCCTTGGAAACCCAAGGAGGGGTCGCTATGAGTCGGGTCCGACTTGAC